CAAAAACTCATCAAACCAGATAATTTACTTGGATATGAAACAACTACCACGGTCCATAAGCTTTATTTTACATTACTTATTCGAAGATAAACAACCAATAACTCAAAAGTTCGATCACCAAAATGTTTTACTTTACTAAATTGCTTTTTGGACATGGTAAACAACTTGAAGTAACTCAGTTTAAGTAACTGAAGCTATTCTTTAAGACCGAGTGATCAAGATTATCGTTAACCTAAGCCAGTAAAACAAATATGGAGATAATCTTTTCGTAGCATTTTATCTATCTTTATCTAGAAAATTTCTTTCATCCACCAAACATTCTATCAAACAACAGTAGAAAACAGTTATGTTAATGTGATAAACATTCTGATTTTGGAAATAAGGGAGACTTAGCAGTACCAACGGCAATAAAAAAGTTAAATGACAATTCATAATTCATGATGGAAGATAGAGAAGTCCACCAAAAATATAGATCAGCCAAGAAAGAGTGAAATGCAACTGGGAAAGGAAATAGAGAGCTGGGGGGACACAAATAAATCAAATCAGGATGACATCATTATTAATGCAATAGTAAGGAAGTTAAACATTCTAGAAGTGGGCATTAGAGGGATTAAAAGAAAAGTACCTTAGTATAAGGGGCCAAGAGAGGGATTCAAAAGAGTCGTAATAATGTACGGCACTAGGAAAAAGAAAAAGAAATATAATACAAAGACTGCAATAAGAGATACAGGAAGAGGTCACATGATATTAGCATCGTAAATGGTAACAGATCAATTGAAATTACAAAAAGCAAATCATGAAAAGGGGAAGGTAGTGGATGGATAATGAGTGGTCAGCCAATACAAATCACGAAGTAAGCAAATTCCAATTCAAAAATAATTCCCCAAAAAGTTGTTATTTCTTCCCCTGTTTCCCTCAGTGATGGCGTCCAACAGACACGAGATGATAATTACACCGATCCTGCTTCGATTTGTCTCGTCTACAAGAGAGTTTACTTCGAAGGTACACTAGCATTTCTGTCCTATTTGTAAAATTTTTAAAAAGTAAAGAACTAAGTCGGCTTTTTCAAAGCATAAACAATTTAAATAATCCGATTGTCTTCCGTATAATACTCTTCGTAAAATACTTTCTAAAAATTATAGTATTCCGAAACACTACACTAGCAGTCAGTCTGACAATACATTCCGGTCTGAGAATATACAATACATTTCTGATGCATATTCCTCAGTCAGGCTTTCAAGTTACACTGTTCTTTGAATAAAATATAAACTACAGGGTGTATCGTAGGTTATGTTACATGTGGAAAAAGATGAGAGGTAACATAAAATTGCCATGAATAGGATGAAATATTTTGAGGAGAGTAGGGCATGAAAAACGGGAAAGTGGGGCATAGGAAAGTGAGAAAAGATGGAAGTAGGGGGAAAAAAAAATAAGAAGGAGCTGCAAGCAAGCAAAACGAGGAAGCTTACAATAAATAGAAATTTCAAAGGTAATGTGTAAAGAAAAACAAACATCTACTAGCTTTGATCAGGATTTTGTCTTCCAAACCAAACACAAAGGAGCAATCGAAGTGAGAAACTGGAAATTTGAATGAAACACAAAAGTACCTTTCCGACACCTTGTATCAATACCAAGTATTAAATTTTCTTTGATACTTGAATTCAGTGCATAAAACAACTTCCTTCGATGCTCCATTCTCTAACTCAGCACTGCTATTACTTATGGAAAACATATATTTTTCCTTTCAAAACCACTCGACAAACTTTACAATTATCCTTCCTTAATAGCGCTTTCTGCTGAGCTCCGACATGACACCAAACAGCTTGATGAACAAAATGAATTATTCCTGATCTTAGATATGAAATGAGGAGAATAATTCCCATCCTAACTTACCTGTGTCGTATCACGAATCAAACTGCTTTGAGCACGAAATTTTCCATTAGGAGATCTAGCAGCCTGACTTTCGCGGATGGATGCAATGAGGGGTGGTACTCGTTCTGCTGTTTCTGTACATTCGATGATTAATGTCTCCGTTACTGTTTTCGATTGAATATATGGCTGACAAGCATTCGCTGCTGCTATAGTTTGCGTCGCCGCGGCTGCCGCTTGTTTTGCAGCCTGCAACACTTTCGGAAAACATGTATTTACATTGCAATTGTAAATTAAAACCCTTAAATATCAGAAATAAACCTGTTCGAGATGTCCCATGATTCTCTTAGACTGTTCCTCACTGGTTGCTTCGCTGGTGACCGTTACCAGCTTTTCAGCAGCATCGCGTAACGCTACTTGCGACTCAGCTGCCTGTGGATGCACTTGACATTCCTGAGTATAAGCATTACATTTTCCATGTAGATTCAGTTTGCAAGTTCTACCAGAAATAAAATACTCCACAGCACATTCAAAACATGTATTTTGAAGATAACTATATAATCAATACAATGCAAATACTTTCGTAGCATCGATCATTCGGCTGGTAGCCTGTGCTACTGAACGAGCTGCATCGAGTAAGCGATCACGACGCTCCGGTGCGCGATCCGCTTCTGCTTCCATCTGCTCAACTAATAAGCGACTATGGCGTATTGCACTCTCACCTTGCCGCACCATATCTTCCGTTGGCCCCTGAAATTTGAAAACGTTTAGTCTAACTGTTAAAAATTAAATAATTTTTTCCTCTAATTTGCAAAGGTATTTTGGCATCAAAAGTAACATTAGATATAAAACAAGTAAAACTTGATAGAGTGAAGACACTGTAAATCGATGAAAAGACCATTTACAGGATCATTCCACAGCTTTCTACGGAAAAAAAATGTATGTGGTGGAAGTGCAGGTAAGTCCGAATTTCCAAAATTTAGTAAACTAAGTTGAAGTGCAACCATATTTCAATAGTAATCAAGGGTACTGCAGTGTATATGTAAGTAATCTATGCATACAACACACAAAGGATTTCAACGAGAGAAAAGGAACCTGATATGTAATAATCTTTCTGGATTGATTTAAAATTTGTTCGTATTCATAATTTTCTTGCGTTGTACGAATTAACTTCGGTGAAGTTTTCACATGCAAAAGTAAATCATCCAATGCTGCTGTCACCTTAAATTAGTACTGCCTATGAATTAAGTCGACAAAATTATGCCGAACAGTTTTAAGATTAATTCTTAAAACGTTCCATTCACAGTTGAAAAAGTGAAATGCTGTCCTACTACTAAAACATACTTAATTTTATTACTGATATTACAAAATTACGCTTCATTTCCATTGGTTTGATTCACTTATTGAAAGGAGTTAAATTCACGGTTCAGAATAAGAATTATGTTGACTTCAAGATCTTGAATGACTACCTGTCGAGAAGCTTCATGAATATCAGTAAAGGATTTCTTTCCATCACCAGTGGTTCGCGAGCATGCATCATGTGCATTTACTAATAGGTCCTCCACTGCATGAGCCACCTGTTTCGCAGCAGATGTTAATTGTTCCTGACACGCAGGAGAATCGATAGTTGGCGCGACGACTCGAGCACAAGCTACCAATTGAGAAGTAGCATAAGCGCACTGAGTAGCAGAATGAATCACTTTGTCTTGCAGTGCTGGTTCTTCGCATTCAGCAGATATAGTTTTAGCCCTATAAATATTGGCCTAATTGCATATCTTGAAATCTCAAAAACAAAAAAAAAAAATTTGTGGGTCAGAATCACGAAATTTTGATTTTGTTATGCTATATTAAAATAAATATTATTATGCTAAATTAAAATAAATATAAATAGTAGCCCTTCAAACTAAGGGTAAGTTGACATTATTTTAAAAAAGCGATGGGTCCTTTTTCGGACCAACAATCTTCTTTTACTTCTATTTTTTAATTACTCATCCGTTACTTACAAAAAGAAAGCGAAAAAAAATTAGTCTATGCTCTAAAATGCTTCCCAATAAGAAAGCAAACTTCACTTTTTCCTAAGTATATTAAAAGACAATTTATCACGAAAAAAACCACATGCTGCTCTCAGTTGTTTATACTTTCCAGTGAGCTATTATAAGTTCCATAAACCCTCAAAAATTCCTCTTCCAGAAAATTTTCAGATTTGGAGCAGTACCGATGCTCTACGACATAGAATACATAATTTGAAGTGTCGACACGAGATCAGTTTAATACCACATGCTTGAATATATTTCCTGTAGAAAAGTAAACTCCGTCTATAACTTAGCACTTGAAACTTACCGAAGTACGAGTTGCGCCGTGGAAGTGGCCACATTTTTTGCACGCTGCACCAAACGATCGTGGAATGTTCTCACTTCACTAGTTGGTTCATCTAAGGTGTTTATAACAGCTTGTGAGAAATCGCCAACACGTCCAGCAGCAGCAAGTACAGTTGTTCGTTTCTCTTCATGCTCCGGATTGACTGTATTTAAGAAATCAGAAAAAGCACCACACAACTTTCGAGCAGCATCTACCAAATCACCTAAATCTTATTCATTTTAATTAATTTTGAAGTGTAACGAAAGAGTCTTGATCATTGCACAGTATTAATGAGTTGATACGACGCAAGAAGAGAAATATTTTAAAAACTGTTCCCGAGTAGTGCAATCATAACTTTCTGAAGTTCTTGTAATAAAAGAAATGAATTACTAGCATCATACCACGCCGTTGTTCGTCAGGCATCAAGGCAGCTAATTCACGTACTCCGCGACCCATTTCGGGCATATTCGATCCAATGGTAGCTATCGCTGTACCAACTTTCGAATCCACTTCGTCTGTAACTGCTGTCAGCTGTACAACTTGAGCCGTAGCAGCGCCCATCTGCGCCAATTGGTCGCCCACCTGAATAAGTTTTTATTAGCGCTTTAATTCGAGAAATAGAGCATAAACGAAGTATCGTAACTTCAAAGCTGGATTCTTTTCAGTCGATCGGACTGAATCGAAGTGAGCAAAAAAGTAAGACTGCTTGAAATGACTTCACAAACAAAAGTGAAAAAAGTACTATGAGCTTAAAGTACAAGGAAAAAAAACGATACCAAATAGTTAATTCTGCAATTTTTTAATATAGCTTGCAAATATTATGATGACTTTGAAACACACTATCTTTTATTGCTTAATGAGTTTGCTTATTCTAAAATAGTTCGATGTTAAACGTCAGTCATCACACTTCATCCTCAAGACTGAACAGTTGCAGTCTTTCTCTTCGCAGTATAGCCAGAATTCTGCCAAATGATTGAAAATTACGCTTAACGTTGGTACATTTTCAAAGAAACAGTCCTTATCTTTAGCGTAAATAAATTGATTTTATACTATGATACTAAATTTATGGACTTGAACAAAGATCTGTACGCTAAGAATTTGTGTAATGATGAATTGATAAAGTGCGCATATCAAAAAAAAAAGACTGCGGGAAATGTTTTCCGGTTGAAAATGAAAAATGAATAAGAAGTGACAAAAAAAGAGATGAATGAATCAGTAATCTTTGAAGCAAATGCAGATTCTACAAACAAGTTTTTATGAGTTTGTATGCTATGAACAGGTAAAACCAAATGCGTGAATAAAATTTCCATATTCTCGAACCATAAGAGAAATAAGTGTAAAAACATTAAAATTAAAAAATAAAGTTGAGAAGGAATTCCTGAGAACACTAACAAAGACATGTAAAAAGAATAAATAAAAAACTACCTTTTGTTTTTCGACCTCTACTTTAGTTTCAATCCAACGCCGTGAAGTGGGATCATCGCTGAATCGTGGTATCTGGATCTCTACAGGCTTCTTCATTTCTTCTTCCGCAGCTTCAACAGCACGTATTGATGCTTCAATTGTACCAATTAGAGCTCGCTGAGAGCGTTCCTGTGAATCGACTATACGTGGGCGCTGACCCTATAATGTTCTTTCATTTCCTTTCTGATGGAACCTTAACGTAAAAGCCGACCAATGTCAATCCCTGCTAGTATTTGGGAATTGCTTTCCAAAGCCTCACATAAATATGAAGTCATAGACTTATATTTATTGAAAAAACTTGGAATTACATACTTTATTTTAAGCTTAGCAGTCATTTACATTTATATTCCTTACTTTTGTAAGTTGTTGCTGAAGGATCTGTCCGCTTACGGCACCATACTGTGCGCCATTCAGAATTCCCCTCTGCCCAGGAACTAAACCACCGGGAGTTCGTAAAACACCTGGAATAGCAACATTGCCTTCGTGTGCAAATCCTTCGCCAATCTGCCCATGTGCGACCAGTGTAGCACGAGCCGGCGCCACGACATCTTCCAACATTGTTGAACCTTCATCACCCTGAAAAACATCGAATAAATGACCCTTATAAATTTACTTAATTTATCGAGGACATTTATTGAGAACTGCAAAAAATCAGTTTCATAAATCGGCAGAAATAAAAGTTCGAGTATGACAAAATCTCTGGAATGATAATACCAAAGTAGTAAACTTCATACATAAATGAAAAAAAAAGAAAGTGAATGAAGTAAACCTCTATGCCAACGTGATCACAAGTTCGCTTCTTTCTCAAAATGATGTCAATGTAACCAGCAATCAGCTGCGCAATTTTTTCACCATCCGCCGTTTGTACGGAATAGTAACCATCTTGATAGTCACCGAAATCCTTAAATTTCTGACAGATTCTTTTCTGTTATAAGTTGAAGAAAACTGCTCAAGGTTCAATATTTGTCCTTTTGTCCTTTACAGAAATGACCATAAAAGCTCCCTATAACAAATTAAATAAGAAAAAATTCAACATTTCAATTGCAAATAACTGTTTAAAATTAACGGGAGAACTTGAAATCTCACCAATGTAAATGTTTTAGGTGAAGCAGCCCATCGTCTTACTTGTTCCAGTGGCCATTCTTGGAGCACTTCTTTGGTTTTCTCATCCATCCTCATCACACATTCTTTATTTACACCCAATAATCGTGGTACCAACTTGTTCTTACCCTTCATTTTCTCCTTCACCACAAAAAATGTCACGCCATAAGTAAGCAAAGAACGGCACAAGTGGACATATTTGCTCTTCGCATCCAGTTCATTTTTTCCAGCTAATTCACGATAAGCATCCATTACGCGCTTTTCGTTATCCTTCGACTTTACATATTCCTTTGGTAAGATTTCGCGGAAACTGCAATTGTTACGATAAATTGCTTGTTATAATTAAAAAACACGAGGTCAGGAAAATGCTGAAAGGTAAAAATGAAACCAGAGCTTACTCTAAAAAGTTAGCCCTCTGCCGATGTTCCTGAAGATCACCGTACTGTATTTGACATTGCAAAGCGGCCAGGTTGCAAGCCATATCGCGTGTGACTGGGTGATTTCCTTGTAAGACTCCCATTTTGCATTGCTCATATAGCAAGTTCAGCTGCACAGGGTCGCGACAATCAACATTTGTGTCCGAAAAAAAAACTTCCGACGCAAGACCAGCGTTTCGTCATCAGTTACCTAAAAATTATATTAGTGAAAAGACGAGAATCAGAACCTTTCATTCCATGGAACTGCGTATGCAACGAAAAAGTAAGCACCAGTGTAAGTGTCAAATAGCACATGGTACACCAACCGATTGTTCACGCAGAGTTTTACCATGATCAAGCCATAGCAACTCTTCATCAGTATGCAATTTAGCTCGCAGTTGCTCCATTTTTTTTTCCTTATTTCGTCCAAGTGTGCCGAAACCGAGACCACGTTCTTCGCTTTTCCCTCTCCTTTCTTCCTTTAGCATAACTGTTGAACGCCAGTCTTGATCCAAAGACTGCCGCACCTGAAACACCAATATAGAAGAACCCTCTTCAAAGAAAAAATTTCGCATCTGCTGAAATAAATTGCACATTCAAAGCCACACATGTTCCATAACCTTAATTATATGTCATTAATTTTTTCTAAAAACAGCGTAAATTGAACCAATTATATGTAGATACCAGAAGAGTTTTTGCTAACCATGGAATATTCTTCATGATTGCTGATACCGATTTTGGAACATACAACGACCATGATTTCACCCATTGGCTGACTTTCATCTACCATTACTGTTTTCACAGCACCATCCAACATTCTTACTTTTAGCGGCCGAATTTTCTTTTTGTATTCAACTGTGTCCTAAAAAAACCGTTTTGCTATTACTCGTAGTCAAGAATGTTCCTTGCATGAGCACCAAATAATTCGAATGCTGTTAACCATAAAGATTCTAAGTAAGCTTACTCCGCTGCGAACTAAATAATATTCTAAAGTTCGACCATTCTCCATCCAAACACATTTCGTTGGGTCTTCCTCGAGCCGAAACAGACCATATTCCTTAGCTGGAAATCGAAAGAGATTTATGAAAACATCGCAAAGAAGAACAAAAATTCAGTTTAGGATAAACTGAAGGAAAGGCTGCTCTTGATGAATTACTGTTTATAAGGAAATGATTCTACAAATTCTCAATAGCGAGAGTGACAAAGAAGTGAGAAGGGAATAACTCGAACAAAACAGATTTTTGACAAGAAAAACTAACGGTTAATGTTATTTCCGGACACTTTTTCTCGGATAATTTTACACGCATCGAAAACGAGAGTAGTCGATTCGAATTGCATTGCCTTCTTTAGTTGGGATTGTTCGTCTCCTTGTCGTGACCAAACTACGTTTAAAGTTATCACACCCATCGTCTTCGCTCCCACTATTGCTGCCAGCAACCTCGATATCTGCAAGTGAAAGACTCAGACCGATGGTACTAAAAGATATAAAAGACAACAACACTAACACGATATCTATGTCGGAATTTCACGGGTTTCCTTGGATCATTTTGCAAGTAAAGTCCATCAATGAGAAGTAACACATTTTTGCATGATATCAATCGGTTACAGTTTTACATATATTCCACAAATTCCCGCATAATTTTATTTTAAAAATGACCTAATCATTCTAGCATGAACGACGCAAACATATAAAACTGCTTCTCTTTCACTACTTTCCTAAAAACCCATCAGCTACACTGACAATCTGATCATGAATCCAAAACATAACAAACTCGACTTTCGAATTCGTTCACTCAAAGCATCCGCAGAAGTGGTAAGTCTATAGGACAAGAGGAGAAGGCGAATATAAAGTGTCAGAATGATGAAATGATGAATCATCACAAATCTCATTAGTAATCAGCTGACAACTGATTTCACTTAGACATGAGAGCCATGTATGGACATATTGCAAATCTGATATCATCCATTTCCCAGCATTTTTTATTGCCACCAACCGAATCTAATGACATTACTATATCAAAACAATTTCTAATTCTGAAACAAAGAATATCTCACGATTTATTTTCCATCTCTGTGAGCCAGCCGTTCGCTGAGTAAATGAATTCTGATCAAGTTGGCTGGTCAAGCGGAAAATATATAAAATAACTATTTAAGAATAAAATTTCCTGCATTATTTATTTACTTCAAGCGCTAAAAACATATGGTTGAAGATATGGAAATACCATTGTATTAAAGGTTATGCACAAATAAATTGCATCAACTAACAGATAGGTTGTTTGAATGAAACAGCAGTCATGAACCTGCAAATAATACATTGTATGCAGCAACTTATGGCGACAAGATATCCTATATAATGAGATTAAAGGAAATATTAAAATTGTAAAAAAGTATAAGAACTGCTGAACAAAGTTAATGGCACAAAAGAGCGCGAAGATACACGGATAGGTTATAAGATCCCCTGCAGAACAAACATTCAGGTTATATTCTGACCAAGTCCTTCGGATGGTCGACAAGAATTTTCATGGGGGATTATCGAGACAACGACTAGACGACGATAGGAAGATAGATGGTATTGTCACAAAAGTCACCATGTAAAAAACGTGTAGCTTCTGAGGATTTTAGAGGGCAAAATACATGAAGTAAGCACACAGCAGGTACTATTGTAAAAACATCGGCCTCTCCCTAGATGCGACAGAATGAACACGTTAAGCGAATTATATAAGCCTTTGTGAAAGATACTCGCTCCTGATTCCTTTCAAACTGCCATCGCACACGCTACGAAATTATGGTGTCCATGAATCTGAGAAAGCCATTTTTACGTTTTATATAAACTGGGTGGTTGCAGAGATAACGGACTTCTCGATGGAGAATTACTGATAAGAACAGTCGAGATCAGCAAGCTCGTAATCAGTTGATTTGTCATTCACACGTGCACCAACGTAATCCCGTAGATGGATATGTTAGGTGATGCTACTCTGAGTGCGTATTACGTTCATGGCAGATCACTTGAAAGAGATGAAGGAGAAAGAAAGAGTTATTTGTTAAGAAAGGAATAATGAAGAGGAAACAAATCCTCTTCTCACTCCAATCCATCTTATCTTAACTTCATCACACAACAAAAACTCAAGCTAGCTATTCAGCATAGAGCGAAATGTTTTAAAGATTACAAGAGTAAGCAGACGAATGGAAGCACACCTCAGCCAGAATAAACGCCTACGAGGAGTGTGTGATGTGGTGATAAAGAACTAGCAGCTATCTCAAGAGTGGTAGCAACTTTTAAAAAGGTACAGCTGTCTTTATGGACAGATTCACGGGAGAATCTTCCATACGGATATTAGCAAGCATTAGAAGCAAGATGTGGTCACAACAGAAGATACATTTTATCCCTGCTATAAATCTCATCCAAAGTCCTATAAACGAAAGAATGTTAATTGCGGGAAGGACAGTGCAGTACTCATGTCATGTTAGGAACAATTGGAAAGGGAGACTTTCGCTAGGGATACAATGGAAGTGCAGGAATGTTAGCAGCAACAGTGCAAGCAGGACATTACAACATGTTGGATAGTTGGTTAGATGGATGATAATGCTGTAAGGTTGCGAGAAAAGCGAGCGGTAGTGTCAGTCTCAGCTAATTTGTGAACGAACCGCCGTTGTTGCTTCTGCTTCTGCTGCTACTGCTGCTGCTGCTGCTGCTATTGCTGTTTAGCAGCGGTGGCGGTGAATTAAGCTTAGTTAGCTAAGCTGTTTGTATTCGGGGAGTGTAAAATGTGGGGGTTATCATCCCAGAATGATATCTTGTGAGCTTAGAACTATTTACTCGAGCATCTTCCACTCCAACAAATAGAGGGATGAATGGAACGGACAGAGAAATAGACAGACGGACACTGATTATGTATGCATACCACTTCTTGGTGTTTAAATGGAGGATAAGAAACACTTTTGATTCTTTATGCTAATTATTCATCCAAAAATTACAAATAATGCATCAGGGATTGCTTTATTGATCATTACTATCTCATAAACATGTGGGACATTTTCAGCCAAAATTTTAGATAACTTATTTAGAAGGAGTAAGAGAGATATGTTATTGGATAAGTTAGGGATCAATTTTGAATATTTTAGTGATTGATGTGAAATTTTGGATCAAAAGTATATTGGATGTTTCACTTTATCAAGGATCAAAAAAACTTATCACAGATCATATCAGGAAATAGTATAAAAGAACTAATTGCCGGACCATTTTATTTCATCCTAATTTAAAAAAATAAAAAAATAAATCAACATAACAAGTTTTGTTTCGAAAAAAAACCATCGCCATTTTTTGCAAATCTCTTAGCATAATCATTTGTTCAAATCTTAATCTATCGTCCATAAATGAATGTTTTTTTTTTCTTGTGTGTGATCCATCAATTTATTAGTATTTTTCTCGTTCATATTTTGCACTCGAGTACTTTAAAAGTTTAGGATAAAGTAGATACCACTTACAGATTCATTTACAGAAGTGTGTCCGTTTTCATCATTGACACTAATCTGCTTCATAACGACTAATCGAAGGAGGTTTTACACAGCTCAGCTCAGCTTAACGTAGTGTCTCGCGTTTGCAAGCAATGAAATGTCACAATTAAATTTACTATTGGTTGACATGCAGTAGCAAATGTCTATGTGAGAAGCAACTAATTTTACATAAATTGAGACGTAATAGTAGAGGAGAGAGGCGGGTGTAGGGATGTGGAAGGGGCAGGGAGCATAATTATTATGCTAATTCATCAATTCAGGGAACACTTAATTAATAATAATGATAATAATAATAGTGACAATAATAATTAATAATAATAATAATAATAATAATAATAATAATAATAATAATAATAATAATAATAATAATAATAATAATAATAATAATAATAATAATAATAATAATAATAATAATAATAATAATAATAATAATAATAATAA